GCTATACGCTGTCTTGTAGGCAGTAGATCCAGTATCATGTTTGAACTGATGTACTGCACCTGCTATTCCGAAGTAAGTGTTCGGAAAGTGTTTTAACCATGACCTCACTAAGCCCATGGATCCAAGAAAGCAATGGCAATGGATCAGCCTTTCCTGACCCACAACTGGCACCACCCAGAGAACATTGAGGATAATTCTCCATGCTGCATCATCAGCATCATTTGAATTCCTCATTCCACGGCCATGAAGAATCAAGACTTTTCCTGGTTGAAGAAAGGATAGAGCAATTTCTGAGTTTTGAAGCTGCTCATCCCACTTCGAGACTTCACAAGTCATATCCAATCCAACTTCTCCTAATGCAGCCACTTCTGGCTGAGCCACAACCCTTTAGAAACTGGTCCATTCTTCAGTTTTCACTTGATGTTTAGGGTGCATGCCTACAGCAACCACTCCTCCAATTTCCTGAAAGCCTTTGCATGTTTCAGGTACTTGGATACGTTTCAGGATCACAATATACTGCAGTAAACCCTTTGATTTTAACTCTGCAGCTATCTACTGGAACAGCTCCAATAATTTCTTGTAGCCCAGCCTCTTTAGGTAATTTTAGAAATTTCTGAGCTCGATCAAAACGACAATGAGCATCAAATGCTTCAGGTGTTTGGACAATTTCCTTACCTCCTCTGCTTCAGGTTCAAACAGCTGTTTAAGCTGTTCTTGTATGTCTTTATTAATCATGGAAAAGAGGTCCTACAACACTCTCCAATTCAAAAGACGTAATGTGAGGCTTTCCTCAGATACGCCCAGGTGCTGTCTAAACTCTTCCCTGGCTTCTTTCTCTCCAGAAATGAGGCTTTCCTCAGAATTTCTTATGAAAGCCAATCTGCTTAAGTCAGGTACGTCTTTACGCACCCCCATTATCCTGCGAGTTAGTGTTTGCAGGGCAGCCACTCTTTGTGTATTAATTTCCGATCCACGTAACATAGGATGGAAAATTAAAGGCAGATGACATTCAAATGCATGATCAGCTGTATCTGGGCCTTTGCACCAGGACAGCAAACATTCCCTTGTTCTATCTGGATGCGGCGCTTTCGCAGCTGGCAAACTATGTTTCACCTTTTTTCCTTGATAATAACCTCCCCGGCCTGGCCCATACTCAGATCTCATCCTTGTCGCCAATATAGAATTCCCTTTGGATTCTATTTAAGGTAATAGTATAGTTTCTTACCTTTACAGCTCTTTAGCTTGATCCAAAAGTCACTTTCTTACTTTCTTGAATAGCCCGTCTCTTCATATATAAGTCCGGTATATAATCTGTCTATCTGCCTCGCTTTCAGTCCTGTCACGTGATCTGCCTTTCCAGATCGAGTCATAAACATACCCGTTGGCACTACACTATGCATTGGTCAGCATAAATGTTTGTTTGGGCAGCAATCAAATCAAACAACTGTTCATTAAAAAATAGCTTAAAATAACTCACAAGTGAAGAATCAACAAGAACACCCCTTGGTCCAACATTAGTTCAAATTGAGGACACCACATGTCAAGCAATTGCCCTTGGTCTAGCTCCCATTTCACACTTAGCTCACCAACTACATCTAACAAATCTTCATCTTCGATGTTTCTATTTATCTCCTCTAATGTAAAACCCTCAAATTCTTCTTCACTGTCAGAATCTGCTGCAAATATTGCATAAATTGTGTCCATATTATGATCACCACTATTCTCAGCAGCCATTTTTGAATCAAAATTTCTTCTGGTTAATCAGGCTGCTTAAAACATCAATGTATGGAAAGGTCCTGTGTATTTTAACCAATAAAGAATGGCAAATGAAATTTGATTGGTCTAAAAGCCTTTCATGGGGGTTTGGTAGTATTCCTTGGATTCTATTGGGTGTTATTTGACCCAAAAACAACAAGGTCTAAAACAGGTCACTGGGATGCAAATATGTGCCCTTGGCAATGAGAGTGCATTAAATGATGAATGTAAATATGCACCTTTGGCAACCAGAGGGTTAAACAGTTTTGATGTTATAGACCAAGTTTCCGTGTTTCTTGGCCTATGTCTGTTAAGAAATTCTTCTTTGAGGTTTCTCCATTCCTGTTTCACTTCCTCGGCCAAAGTTTCGTACCAGTCCAATGCAGCAGCAGTGAGTAACAGAGGAAAAATGGAAATAATTTGATCATGATCAAGAGCTTTAAAGTTAATCTAGTTCTTCAAATGATCTAACCATCTATCTCGGAGTGGTTGGTGAACTGTTGGATGGTGCTGCTATTGACTGGTGGTGGGTCTTGTGTGATAGGCAAATTGTCTCTGGGAGTTTACTTTTCGAGCTTGTGGTCTTCTGTTTCTTCGTCACTGATGATGATGATAGGTGACTCAGGGCGATTTGAGATGGGTCGGTTTGGCCAGGTAATGCTGAAATTTGTGTCGTTTTTGTTGTCGGTTTCTGTGTAGCTATTGCTGTCGGATTCACTACTGAGGTCAATGATAATGAACACTTTTCGATTGTCTCTAATTTTGATTTGTATGGTTCGAGATTCGTTGGAACACATGGATCAACAATTTTGCGCTGTTTCCTACTGTTTCTGATTATGTATTTACATTAATATGAGGGTTTAAAAACCACGTATATATTACACCGGTCACGTGTGTACTCGTGCACTTGGCGAAAGCAAGAGGCAGAACACCAGCTTGGGAGAGAGAGAGAACAGCTTTATTCAACCAAACTGCAAATCAACTCTTCACTGCTGCTTCGAGCGAGTCACTCTGTACTCATCTGCTAGTACCAGTGCAAGAGCTAACAACAGTCTGCTTCTTGGTTACCAACCTGTTACTTCTTATACTTTAAATTTGAGTGGGAGTAGTTTTACAACTCCATTGGTCAATTGACCACCAGAAAAACATCATTTCCTATAGCAATAAACTGGTGGACATAACTGATAAGTTACTCTTATGGTCACTTTTAGTGAGTGTTGTCGGCTGTCCACATACTATGTCAGTAACTTTTATGGTAGCAATATATTGATGACCAAAAGCTGGATAAATGGTTAGAAATCAGGAGACAAGTCATAAATCAGAACCAATAATGACCATACGATATTGGTGGTCAATACATATCTTAATTACTTGGAGACAGGTGGTGATTCATAAATGAAGTCAACTAAACAGATATTTTTAATGACTTCAATCTGAAATTTCATCTGTTACCACATTATTACATAAACTTTAAAAGTGGTAAGAATACATATAACTTCCCTCCACCTGGAAGCTATTCTAATATATAAGATATAAATATAATAATAATAAGAAGAAACATCATTTAGAGGACAAAATCATGAATGCTAGAACATATAGAACATATAGATTTGACATATCTAAACAGTATGAATTAATTGTACAATTCCCTTTCCATTGATAAGTAACCTGCTGGATACTACTCAGTACATACCCCTGTGAAGTTGATTCCTGGTTCCTTATTCCTTATTCGGTTACTTATTCAAATGTGAAGTTGGTTACTTATTCCCGGTTCCTTATTCGGTTACTTATTCAACTTTTTTATGTTTTTTTATGATTTTGATGCTAAAATACCTGTTTCATCATACTAGCACCCCCTCTTCATCTAGATGACACCCTAAAATTGTTAAATATACCACTAAAAACACAAAATATAACCCATTCCTTATTCAAAAGTCCTGTTACTTATTCGGTTACTTATTCCTTATTCGGTTACTTATT